TGACAAATGTAAGAATCAAGAATCGTTAAATTTTATAGAGGATAAGTTGGATTACAAGTCTGTAAAGATAAGCATTTCGAACGGCAACCTGGCAAATTTTTCAACTTTGAAAGGTGAAATTAGACGAGGAATTCATTCTTCCACGTCGTCTCTTTGGCTTCCGATATCCTGTTCTAGACGCTACTAACCAACAACCAACAATAGGTTTAAAATACTTGAGTCAAAAGAATTCAGTGGTTAAGCAAAGGGATACATATTGAAGAATTAAGCATAACAGTAATCTTAAAAACTATTAAAACCGTTTAGCAGCAAAAACTATTTGTTCAAATACTTGTTACTGAACCACCTAAAGTATTTCTTGAAATAACAATATTTATGTTGAAGCTAGAACGTTTTCATTGGCAGAGACGCTAAAGTGGTGCATAAACCGAAGATTTTTTGCAGTCTCCTCTCTCTAATCACGTCGTAACTCATGATACTGTGAAAATAGCACCTTGTAATTTTAATATATTAGAAAGGAAAACATTGGCAAATTTTATGTTTTTTATAAAATTTAAAATATAAACTTTTTTTTAAAAGACGTTTCTAATTCTTGCTTTCATTTCAATTTTGTATGGGATTTGTTGACATATCAGTTTCACCACTTTTCTAAATCTAAAAAAGAGCCTTTTAAAAGAAGTAGAATTTAGAAAAATCTGTTGCGAGCGAAATTTTACAATTTCCTGAACACGACCACATTTGGTACAAACTGCTTTTTTTTTTGCATTTTAAAACAGCCCAACTTTGTGGCCAGCGCGCTTTCAAAGCGAACTCCTCCAAGTTCGAAAACCGGTATTACGCGTAGCAAATCAGAAAAAAATGGAAAAGACCTGAGAGGTCGACAAGGAAATGTGTGCAACTTGGCGCGGAATGGCCCAGGTATATAATCAGCTTGTTTATTAGTTTGTTAATTTGCTAGCTTATGGTTCGTTCATTCAGATTTATATTTTCGTTTAAACAAGTTTGGTAATTTGCTCAAATATGATTATAAATAGCTTCTTGCGGGGCTGGCGTTTGGGAGGCTCTGTTTCGTGTGGAGGAGTGAGGAGGGGAGAAACTGAAAGAGGAATTATGTATAAAGTCAAAAATGTACCACCTTACAATCATATACATATAAGCTTCTTTTTTTCGTATGTGGAGGTCATGTGTCGCGTTTCTTGAAAAATTTGGATAACGAAATTCCAACTGGGCAAGGAGAAGTGATCATGGAATGGAAATACTCCATTTTCAACACATCTCTGGACGTGCTATTTTAATAAAGATTTTTCGGAATGCTGTTTGAGAATACTGATTTAAATTAAAGTGCAGGCAAAATAGTGAAAGAACAAAATAACGAAAAATAAACCTCGTTTTTAGTTATTCGATCCCAGTCCATAACAACAATTTCAAATTTGATTAGGTCTAAACTTCGGTTTTCCACGTCTGGGAGTCCAAAAACAAAGGATTCGTTGTACACAGGAGACAACGTTCTTTTCTTCACTTGGCTTTTCTTTTTTGCTATACACTGCCCGTCGTATGTCAGATAAATTTTTACATACGGATCTGCAACAATTTCATCGCTTACAGATTTAATGTGTAAACGGCATCATTTCCAATTTGGTATGAAAATTTTTCTGCAGCAGGACCAATTTACAGTGATGGGCTGCAAATTTATAGAAATGCTAGCTTACTCTCCAGTTGAACAGTGTTTAACTGACTTATTTTGGAAAACTGCTGATCTTTTGACATAATTGTTTTCCTCAAAATAATAGCTAGCTTGTCGCTCTCCTGTGTTAATTTTTGAAGCCCTTAGTGAGATACATGCTGAAATGTAACGTTGGAGCTTATTTTCTTAGTTATTATTTCTGTTACTTTTTTTACAAATTGAGTTTGTTTGGATCACACGATTTTTTTCATTTCTTGTATATAGATTCTTCCGATTGTGTTTTTAACAAAAACTTTTATGTAAAATCTTTTATGAGTTTTTGAAGTACTTTTTTTGAAAATTTACTATTTGTAAACGCAGGTAGTTTGGTTTTCTCTCGTGATTAACTAATTCTTTTCAGTTTATATTTGGTTTAAATTAACGGTTTGTAAAGAGTTTGCTATTGGTGCTTGCCGCAGTTGTGGCTATGTGCTGATGGCTAAATTTTTTGCATTTTTTTGCGCTGTACAAAAAGACTTACAAATTAAGGAAAGAAATTAACCCCTAAATTGCATTTCAGCGAATAACTCAGCGACGGTATTAGGTTTCAAAACAATTCAACAACTGCTATGTAGTCACAAATTTGACGAGCAAAATGACGCCAAAACAGTTCAAAAATTTCCAAAGTTAGTCATTTAAAAGTGCCCTAGTTTAGGCTTGAGCTAGCGTTTTTCTGAGCATTCAGCGAAAGGTATTACCGTATTCTCTCTGAAGTAAACAGGCAAACGTTAGAAGTGGGCATCCCTACGCTCATAAAATGACTTCACGTTTTTCTCTAAATTTCACTGAAAAGATGAATTGTTTTTGTACCAAGAGCATGATAGTAATAAATGCTGATTATTTTCCTTGAGTAATCTTTCTTTTTTCTTTTTTGAAATTATTTGTTCTTTCATTATTATTTTTCAATGTTTTCCCACTCGATAGAGGATTGCATCTCTTAAGTTCTTCATTTAAAACTGTTTTTCTCATCCAGTTCCCGGGAAAACTTGGGTCATTTTACAAACTTCTTACTTCCCGTTCATGTAGGTAATAAAAAGAAGAAAATTAACAGATTTTTGTGAACAGAGTTATAACAGTAAATAATTTGAATAGTGTCTGTTAATAATGAAAGCCGTGTCATATTTCTGCTTAAATCTCAGCGAAAAAAGGCCAAAAAGCAAAAATTTTGGAAACAGAGGAGTAAAACATTACTAAACAGCATGGTGCTAATAATGCGGCACACCTTAGCAAAGGTTCTTCGGACAACCTCCGAGTGCCTCCGTATAACACGATGGCATTCAGCCAAGCCTGCTGGAGTTTCTCCAGAACAGGGCATTTTTGCTAGCAAAAATTTTCACACCAAATTAGGGATGAATTCGCCTGTAAGTAAACCCAACTTTCAAAAAAAGCTACAGAGCTTTCCCTCTTTTTTCCCTTCTCTGCTAGAAGTTTGAAAGCACAGCTTTTTTGGCAGTACAAAGCTGTGGGACCAGGAAGGGTGCGCTAGAAATCTTGTCCTTTTGTCAAATTTATCAAAAAATTTACCGGCCAAACCAGTGATATCAAATTTCGGTAGGTTTTGAGCTTTTAAAAGCACCACAGTAATCCGATTTGTCGTCGGCTGATAACAAAGCGATATCAGTATCTGTCCGCGATCTTCGTTGTAATCTTCGCCAAATCCACTCAGCTGTAGCTCTATGCTTTTCTCTTCACAACTTATTAAATCGGCGTCGGCGAGGCAATAAACAGCTTCAGCAAGTAACGTATCTCTGCTGTATCTGTCAAATGCCACGATCTGAAGCTGTTCCGTTGCATAATTTTAGTATTTAGTTGTAAGCGAGCGGTTTTCACCTGTATTTCAGGTTGCTCCAAACAAAATGCTAATCTTTAAGTGCATCTCAGCATTTACACTTTCAACGCAGGACTGCTTGCGCTTACTAGAGCATATTAAAGTACTTAAGGACTGCATAACTTTTGCTTTATTTTGTTGGTTAAAGCTCACCATACTTTCAGGTCTATTTGAGCTTTCCAGCTTTGATTACTGTTTGTTTAGTTCTTGCCATTTTTTTTCCCGCTACTGATGAAAATCTTGACAAGGAAAAATAAAAATACCGAAAGGGAGAGTGCAGTAGATTTCCTTCTCCTATATATTGTCATTTAAAGGAAAGAAGAAGAATACTTTTGAAAGAGCAAGAACTTACTCCAATCTGCAAACTCGTTACGCGGAGTTGTTCCTGGCTTATACCGTACATAGAGAAAGTTTCGTCATATTGTGGGTTCCGAGATGCACGAACTACACGAGTTTTCACTCGATGTTGTTTTTCTGGAAGAAGTTGCAGCTTCACATATGGATCAAGTAGGCACTGACCATCAGAAGTTTTCACTAGCTCTGGGAGGTTAGAACAGTTTTCTACTTTCACCTAAAAATAAATTATGAACTAAATATTGTTTGCCAAAGTTATGTTTCCTATCGAAAGTTGTATGTTGAGCTTTCGCTTAATGGGGAGCCTTATGATTGTTCTTTCATTTTTTTCTTTGAATAATTATGGAGCAGAACTTAGAGAGGTTGTCCAAACTAACTTGTTAAAGGAGTTATTGCATATTAAAAGGAGAAGGATAAGGACCTGTAAACACGAATCGGGAACGCTGTAACGCAAAGTGAACTTTACACTTCCTCTGTTACTACCCAGCTGCGTAGAATCAACCTTGGTGATAGTCTGTGACGATGCAAACAAAGGCTCAAATGGAACCAGTGGGCTGGACGCTGAGCTTTCTGAAGATAGCGGTGAAGATACTGATGGTGGACTTTTGAGACCGCTTGGTCCGTTCATACCCCGTGTCACTGCTCGAGACAAACGCAAAAGACTGTCCCGGTTAGGTTTTCGACGTTTTTTCCATATTAGGCAAACAGAGAAGAAAGCCAATGCAACGAAACCAGCTGCGCAAGCCGCTGAGCCAAAAAGAAGCTCTGAAATCTTTTTGGGATTTTACATTTTTTTGGTATAATATGCAAGAAGGGTATAAGCAAAAAACAACTGAAATTTTTTGATGTTAGTCATCTCAGGTCTCCTCGTTGCTGTTCGGCAACAAAAATTAATTTACTTTCAAATGATTCAAGATTTAAAATTCTTCAAAAACCTTGTTGCTTTCTGACCAGTGGTTTTCAAAGGTGTACAACGATCAATGCGATAATTTGTCTCACAAGAAAGCCACTTAGCGTAGTTGAATAAGGTTTTCATTATGCTATTGAAAGTGAAAGGAGATTAAGTTATGGTTGGTCACTTATGTTACTGATTGTTCTGAGGATGTAAAGTGCTTGGTTATGAAAGGAGGCCTATGCTGATGTTTTGCTGAATACAAGAGGTGCTGGAACAGTGGAGTCATCAGAACCATCGAATATAGGCAAACTGTAGCAACAGTAAAGCAGAAAAAAAAACATAACAGACTTACGCTTTAAGAAGGAGGACTTTGTTAAGTTTTGGTTCAAAGCAAGCATATAAGGGATGATAGTTAAAAGTCTGCCGAAACAATTTTAAAAAACAATCAAGTGCAAAGGATCAACAAAATCGATGCGTCAAATGAGACAACAAGCTTTCGAAGCGTCGAAGCTGCTCAATACGAACATCGCTCATTCGGTGTTTTTGCCGGCAGTGTAACTTTTAGAGAAGATTACATAGACGCTGAGTCGCCGTCCTGCCGTTAGTAATATCTAACATTTTAATTATAAAAGGATGAAAGAGAAGATTAGGCACCAGAGCAACGAGCATTCAACGCTTGCATTGTCAAGCAATTAATCGATTTAGGCTTGCTGCCAACTTCTCAAGCGTTAGTGCATTCTTAACGTTTGGCATGTATGCAATCGTCCACCAGAACAGGCGCATTAGGTCACTAGTTTCCTTTTTTCTTCCTAGCTGCATTTCGCCTATTCATGGGGCCGCCTCCAAACGACATGAGCTAAGTCAGATCCGAGGTTTATTTAAGCGAACGAGTGGGAATTCATTGGGGAGGTGCTTCATTTCTGCTACGAGATCATCAAAGTAAGCACTGTGTTGGTTAGTAACTTTGTATTTATGCAGCTTGAGATTCCAAGTGCAGACACTCTTGTATGGTACTTTTTGTGCCGTTATTCTTCTGTTGACCGAGTTACAAACTAAAGTGACGGCTTTGAGAGTATCTTGGATTTGGGGCCTTCGTTCAGCGTGCAGTTGCGTAAGGTGAGGGACCAATCGTGGGAACAGTGGGGTAGGGACAAGGAGGAGAAAGTGTTCCGAGGAAATTTGGA